TTCCTAAAATTCAGTAACAACAACAACAAAAACACACACAAAAACACACAAACAAGCTGATTAAAAATGGGCAGAGGGACTGAACAGATACTTTTCCAAAGGCATACAAATGGCCAACAGATATGTGAAAAGACACTCAGCATTACTCGTCATCAGGAGCAAGCAAATCAAAGCCACAGGGAGGGGTGGGAGGCCACAGGTAGAGCCGGGCTGCCGTGTGGCCACAGGCCGCCATGGGCTAGCCTCAGATTGATCAGCTGGAATGTGTTCAGCGCAGGCTCTGTGCCACCAGCCACGTCAGCCCCTCTTGGCCTCCCTCGCTGCTAATCCCCAAAGCTCTGGGCCTCTGCTCTCCAGATCTCACTCCGCCCTGCGCAGCTCAAGGACAGGCAGTGAGAGCTGCAGACGCAAAGCAATGTCAATAAAACCACCCTGGAGCCTGCAAAAAAGAAAAAAAGAAAAGAAAGAAAACGCACATATTTTGGAATGGCTATCACCAAGAAGACAAGAGATCCAGCAAGTGGGGAAAAAAGGGAACCCTTTTGCTCTGTTGGTGGAAATGTAAATTGGTTCAGCCAAGTTTCTCAAACAATTAAAAATACCGCTCCCATATGATCTGGCAATCCCACTTTGGGATATAGATTCAAAGGAAATAAAAATAGGATTTTGAAGAGTTATCTGCATTCCCAGGTTTATTGTAGCACTATTCACAATAGCCAAGACACGTAAACAACCGAAGTGTCCATTAATGTATGAATGATGAATGAATGGATTTAGAATATGTCACACTCACACACAGACACACACACACATGCACACGCATACAGGAAATCCTGCCATCTGCAATAACATGGGTGGATCTCGGGGCACTATTCTTAGTGAAAGAAAGCAGCCTGAGAAAGACCAATATTGTATATTATTTACATATGGAATCTAAAAAATGCCAAACTCATAGAAACAGAGAGTAGACTGATTGTAACCAACAGATGGGGGTTGGAGAAATTGAGATGTTGTTGTTAAGGGTACAAACTTGCAAGGAGAAGGTGAATACGTTCTGGAGATCTAATGCACAGCCCACCGATTATAATCAACAACACTGCGTTATGTGCTTCAAAATTGCTAAGAGACTAGATGGTGTTTCTCACCGCAAAAAGTAATTTATGTGATAGATGTTAGCTACAGCTAAGGTGGTAATCACTGCAATATACAAATATATCAAATCAACATGCTGTGCCCCTTATACTCACAGGATTTTGTCTGTAAATTGTATCTCAGCAATGAAAAAAGAGGAGCAGGATGAGGGGATGGACCGTGCCTGGAAAATGACTACAAGTGATACCAAGACAAACTGGCCTAAAGCATCTCGGTAAAGGGCAGGCCAAAGATTTACACATCAAAGGTAGGAGATGAGGAACTTTGGTCTGCTATCAGGGGTGATCAGCTATCAAGGGTAGGGGATTGACTTAACAGGACTCTCTGCTGAAACTGGCTTAGGCAGGCCAAGGATGAAGCCTGGTCAAACAGAGGGCTTAGAGGAGCTGTGTAACCTTTGGTCAAGCACAGTCTTTGTCACGTATGACTTGTACGCTGCAAACTACAGAACATCTTAAAAAAAAACAAACAAAAAAACACACACAACTTCAAGAAGACCTAAATAAATGAAAAGGCATCTCATGTTCATGGATCAGAAGTTTAATAGCGTGAAACTGGCAATGTTACCCAAATCGACCTACAGATGCAACACGATCCCTATCAAAATCCCAGCTATTTTGATATCAGACACTGACAAGCCTATCTTAACATCCTCATGGAAATGATATGCAGAATAGCCAAAGCAATCTTCAAAAAGAACCAAGTTGGAGGACTCACACTTCCTGATTTCAAATCTTACTACAAATCTACAATCATCATGACAGTGTGGTACTGGCCTAAGGACACAGTATTGGCACAGACCCAAGAGTCCAGGTAAACCATACATTTTGGCAAGGATGTGAAGAATCTGGAATCTGCATGTATTGCTACTAGAAATGGACAATGGAGCAGCTACTTTAGGCATGTCTGGCCTTACTCAACATGTGAAACGTGCCAGGGGAGGGAGGTGGGGGCTGGGTGGAGATGGGCCAAGGGGGGCAGTGGGGGACATCTATAATACTGTCAGCTATTAAAAAAAATTTAACGCCGGGACCGGTTTGGCTCAGTGGATAGAGCGTTGGCCTGCGAACTGAAAGGTCCCAGGTTCGATTCCGGTCAAGGGCATTATCTTGGTTGCGGGCACATCCCCAGTAGGGGGTGTGCAAGATGCAGCTGGTCGGTGTTTCTCATTGACGTTTCTAACTCTCTCTCCCTCTCAATTCCTCTCTGAGTAAAATCAATAAAATATATTTTAAAATAAATAAATAAATAAATTTTAAAAAAATTAAGAATAAAAGAAAAAATAGTTAAACATGGAGGTCCCATGAGACTTGTAATTCTGCTCCTAGGTATATATCCAAGAGAACTGAAAATAGATACTCACACAGAAACTTGTATACTAATGTTCACAGAAGCACTATTCATAACCGAAAAGTAGAAATCACCCAAGTGTCCATCAACTAATAGATAAATAAAATGTATCAATGCAATGGATTATTCAGCCATAACAAAGAATGAAAGACTGATGCATGCTAACCTCAAAATCATCATGGCAAGTCAAAAAAGCCAAGATACAAAAGGCCACATGTTACAGGATTCCATTTATATGAAATGTCCAGAAAAGGCAAATCTATATGGATAGAAAAGAGTTTGAGGGGACTGTCTGTAAGTGGGTATAGGATTTCTTGGGGGAGGGGTGATGAAAATGTTCTAAAATTGATTGTGGTGATAGTTGCACAACTCTGACTATAGTAAAACCATTGGACTGTATACTTTAAATGGGTGAGACGTATGGTATGTGAACTGTATCTCTATGCAGCTGTTAAAAAATCAAAGGGAAACATTTAGAAATGGTTTTACTGCATTTTTGTTGTCTTTGTTATTCTAAAAATAAATACATTTAAAAGGAGTTGATTAAAAAGCTTCATCTTCTAGAAACATGCATCTGTAATCTATATATATAAAACCCTAAGCAACCAGTCAACTATTTGACCAGTCAACCATTTGACTGGTCGCTATGACATGCACTCACCACCAGGGGGCAGGTGCTCAATGCAGGAGCTGCCCCCTGCTGGTCAGTGCACTCACACAGTGGGCGCGGCCTCTCCTGCCTCCACAGCAGTGGTACTGAGCCACGGTGGCTGCAGGCACAGCAGGGCAGGGATGGCAGGAGTGGCACAGCGCCTGGCCCGGGCTCGGGCACCTCCCTGGCTGCCTGTCACTTCACGCACTATAACATCCCTCAGGGGATGTTGGACTGACGACATCCCACAGTCTGACATCCCTGGAGGGGTCCTGGATTGCAAGAGGGACCCCAGGCTGAGGGACCCCACCGGTGCACGAATGTGTGCACTGAGCCTCTAGTAAATGATATTATAGTAGTTGGCTGCTTCCACTTTCAGGTAAAATAAATATAGTCATTGACAAAAAAAAAGAGGAACAAGAGGAAGCTATTTTTTCAAAAGGTTCTCTAGACTGCATCTAGACATATAATTAAAACTAAAATCAATAAAAGGACATCACTTCAAGTACCCAAGAGGCATACACATCCATAACCGCAAAAAATGTTTCTGCCTTTTGATTATTAATTCCATTCCTGGGAATTAGGCTTAAGAAAATCATAATAGCCACAAAACCATTTCTAACAGAACGGTTATATAACACAAACATCTAAATCCATGCTACCTAAGAGTGTCGGCTGCTGCTTTAAGTCTCTAAGGGAACTGTTCAGTCCCATTAAGATTTTTACAGTGAGACGTTCTCAGTAAAGGGAGCACAGCACTGACTTACAGAACCAAAGTGTAAAAAATAAAGACAGGACTGATAACCTATGATATAACTCAATGAAATACTGGATGAACAGAAAGTAGACTAACAATAGCCAACAGTCATTCAGCTCTTGCTATGTGCCCAGCCCTGTACAAAGTGATTTATATACATTATCTCTTTTTTCCCTGGTATCCTTAGGCTCTATTATCTTCTTTTTGCAGATTAGTAAATAAAGCTCAGAGAGGTTAAAGGACTGACCAAAGACTAACAGCAAGTAGGACTTGAAATCAGGCATGCATGACTCCAAATCTTGATCACTATATTATACTGCCTCCATGAAATGGAATATAAACTATGATTACAACTAAGCATACATGTGGATAAAAGTTTAAAGGAAGGAAATGGAAAGAAATCTTAGGATGGTGAGACCAAGAATACATTTTTTAAAATTGTCTTTTCTTGCCCGGCCAGCATGGCTCAGTGGTTGAACCAGGAGGTGATGGTTCGACCCCAATCAGGGCACATGCCCGGGTTTGGGGCTCAATCCCCTGTGGGGGGCATGCAGGAGGCAGTCAATCAATGATTCTCTCTCATCATCAATGTTCCTATCTCTCTCCCTCTCCCTTCCTCTTTGAAATGAATTAAAAAAAAAAATAAAAATATATATATATATATATATATATATATATATATATATATTTTTTTTTTTTTTTTTACAAAAAAGAGCTATAAACCTTCTAAGGAGGTTAAATAGTTATACTTTAAAGTATCTACTGATAATATCAGCTATCTGGATATCTCCAGCCAAAAACTGATTAAATTATGCTAAATCCTTGAATTGTTGTGAGGGCCTAGGAAATGAGTCTTGCTAAACAAACTAATAAATTTAGAATATAGAACAATTATAAGTACTAAAAAGAAACCATTCAAACAGTAGACAGTATTATAGGTAAGTAATCTCTGTATCTCAGCTGACAATTAGCTTCTAGTAGTAAGAATAAGGAAGCATGGTTTCGGTCTCTCTAGAATTATTTGACCCCAATCAAGTAATCTATTATCATTTTTGTCCACATTCACATGAGCTTTGTCATGAAACATACCTATGTTTCTGACCATGATTCCTTTCAGCTCATCCACTTGGGCTTGGGTCTCCATCACTTTGTCTAGGCTCTTGTTTTCAGAATGATGCTTCTGTAAGAAAATAGTATTGAACTTACAGTACCCAGACATTATTTATAATAGGAAAACAAAAAGAAGAGGAATGACAATGAGAAGTACTATAAAATTATGTGTCTATTGATACCAAAAACATGTCACTTTATTTAAACATTGTTACCAGACCTAGGAAAAATCCTATATAATAAAAGGCTAATATGCAAATTGTCCCCTTGACCAGGAGTTCCACCAGGGGGCGGGGCCAGCCAGCCAACTGCTTAGGGCCCCTCCCCACCACCGGCCCTGCCCCCGATTGGCCTACTACCCCAATTGGGGCAGGCTGGCTGGACCCCACCCATGCACGAATTCATGCACCAGGCCTCCAGCATAAACATAAAAATGCTACCAAATTAAATACGTGTTATAGTATAAAAATGACACCTTATTTTAAATGAAGTAAAGCTAAATATATTATAATATATTAAATATATATCTGAGACTCTTGGAACAGAAAGTAGAGGGTTCAGACTGGGAAGACTGTGGTTGAGGCAAGGGTGGCAGGACAGGGAAAGGGTACACTAAACTGTTCCCCACTACTTGGGTATGATGAGACAGGAAATGGCCCAGCTTCTAGGAATCTGTTCTTATACTGTTGGGATCAAGGTATGCATCCTATTTTGATTGGCTCTTTATAGGAGCTAGAAATATAAGATACTGATAACAGTATATGTTTTGAAATTATCATCCATAGCTTACAATTGAGTGCTTAACATACAGTATTCCAGTCACTTAACTGTGCTAAATGCTTCAAGTAGGGGATATTATTTAATCCACTCAAAAACTCTATGATGAAGATGCTATCATTATTACAGCCATTTGCAGGTAACTATTCAGAGGATCACACACAGAACCCAACCGCCTAAGTTGAAAGTTCGCTGCCAGCTTTCCTTGTTTACTTTTGACTGTGCATCGGTATGTTTTTTGTTGGTGACATTTTACATAGTTTCACATATATGAATGTTTCCTAGTGGGAAGTATAAAACAAAACAATTGATTCTCTTCCTCTCCCTTCCTTCTATGAAATCAATAAAAAAAACCAACATTTAAAAAAAGGCCTCGCATTGAGCAAAACAAGAAAAAGAGCACATAATATATGGTTCCATGTATAGTAAATTCTAGAAAAGACAAAACTATAGTGAAAGAAAATAGCGCAGTGTTTCCTGAGGCAGAGTGAGGGAGAGGACTGACTTCAAAGGGACGGGAGGGGACTTTTAAAGTCAAGGAGATGTTTTCTATCTGAAAAGGATACTATTTCACAGGTGTATACATATGTAAAACTTCACTGAGCCCACAATTAGGCAAGCCGACCGATAAACAGACTTTCAGAGGCCTGCTCTGAGCTGTTCAAAAATTAAAGTTGTCTCCTGTGATGGGAGAAGGTCACTGAAGAGCTTGAGAGACCATTGGGCATGTTGAATGAATTTATGCATTGCGTGTAGATTAAGTACATGACATTTAATGTCCTTCCCAGCCCTGAGATACTCTGAGCATTATTAACAGAGAATATCACCAACTATCAGCTTTCTACCCTAAAATGACCCATTTTGTGAGAGAAATTACATTATGGTGGCATCTAATAACGTAATCAGAAAACTGTATTGCAGGTCAGGGTCCTCTATATTCATGGTGCTTTGAGGTAATCAAGATATGAATAAAATACTATATCCTGAGAAAGATCTTACCAGCTGTGCGGCCAAGACACTTGAGAACTCACTATTCATGGCATAAGGCAGGGCTGTCTGCGCTCTTGAGCCATAGGTAGTCTGGAACCTCTTCTTTATCTCATTCAGAAAATTAAAGGCCCGGGAACGTTCGAAATCCTGACGAGAGACCAGCACAGAGTTCAAAAGTAAACAAAAGATGACATAGATGATTAACGACCATAAGAACAGCTAACATTTACTGAGCAATGATTCCATGAGGAAGAACTAACACTGACCTCATTTTACAGATAAGGAAACAAAGTCTCAGGAAAGGTAACCGGCTAGCCAAAGGTCAGATAACTGGTAAATGAATGAGCCGAGAGTCCACTCCAAACATGTTTGATTACTGCCAACTGAAGATAACAGGAACTAGGTGAGCTTCTTGAGAGCAGGAATTGGGGTTTACTTCCTCCCTATCTTTCCCAGGATCTTTTAGATGGCCCAGCTCAAGGTGTTTAATAAACCCATAATAACAGTACAGTCATTCATAACAAAGATAACGCTACCAAGATAAACTTTGAACTGATTTCTCCCCCCAATAGTGGTGAGACATTTTGAAAAGATCAAATGATATCCTTGTGTCTAGTCCCAGCTAGTCAAAAAGTATTTATATATTATATATATTATATAAAGACTTACACACACACACACACACACACACACACACACACACACAATTATAGTTCAATAAATATAAGACTCAACTCTGAGAAATGTAGTAATATTTCTCATGTACTCTAAGTCCTTTCACATCCGTCATTTTAGATACAGCTGGATTTTTCAAAATAATTTTAAAAAGCACTGTGAGACCAGGGATAAAAATCACAGTGGTAATTTGACAGTCTGTTCGATGCTTCTCTGCCTCTGTAGCTATCTTTTTGTTCATCAGGTTATGATGTTATTATCCATAAATGAGTGAGATCATGTGGTATTTTTCTTGAACAGTCTGTCAAATTACAGAGGGAAGGCGGGAGGCGGGAGAGGTAAGAGATCAACCGAAGGACTTGTATGCATGCATATAAGCACAAGCAATGGATGCAAGACACTGTGGGCTGAGGGCATGTATAGTAGTGGGGTGGGGGGCAATAGGGAGATATGGACACATATGTATTACCTTAATCAACAAAAAAATTGGAAAAATAAAGAATCAAATCTAGACTGAATGATTATCTGTTAGATTTATAGATAAAATTCATGCATAGGTAGAAGAGATGGGACTAAAATTCTAATTCTTTTTTGATGATACTTTTATTAAACATGTTAATTAAATGTTTTCTAATTAAATCCAAATAAATTATTGAAAGATTAAAAAAAAAAAAAAAAGCCAAAACCGGTTTGGCTCAGTGGATAGTGTCGGCCTGCAGACTGAAAGGTCCTGGGTTCGATTCCGGTCAAGGGCATGTACCTTGGTTGTGGGCACATCCCCAGTAGGGAGTGTGCAGGAGGTAGCTGATGGATGTTTCTCTCTCATCGATGTTTCTAACTCTCTATCCCTCTCTCTTCCTTTCTGTAAAAAATCAATATATATATATATATATATATATATATATATATATATGAAGAAAGATAAAAAAATATCACTGTGGTGACCACTGTGATTGACACATCTCCAATTCACGAGATGATTAATCAAGCCAAGGGTTCTTAAACTGGGGTCAGCGGTCCCAATTCAAGGGGCCTATGTACTTAAATAGAAAAAAACAAACAAACCTACGCTGTTGTTTTCACCAATCTTTAACTTATATTTCAATTTTGAATGTAGGGAACAAGCCAGAGTAGTATCATTAGATGGTAGCTGTGACTCTACCACCAACAGAAAATTTTTTTCCTATATGTTATAAACATCTCGAAATATTTTTATAATCAAATTATTATTAGATGTCAGACCCATGGCTAGATCTTGTTAATGAATTCACAAAGAAGCACATACCTTAAGACCTGTGAACACTGTCTTTCAATATGCTTGGTTTCGTTTATAGTCATGTACTTTATTTTATATTTTAAAACAAATATGTCAGAGGGGTCTGTGACACAATAAAAGCTAATACTCGTGTCGATCCCATGCCTCTGGTCAGTGATCAATTTAGAAATAAGTATGTGGCCTGGTCCTAGCCAAAGCTGCATGCAAGGAAGTCTGCTTTGAGAGCAGGGGGAGGGGAGAGTGTGTTTTTGGAAAAAATTTCCTCATTCCTCATACAATAAGAGACGGGAGGAAACCCAGTCCCCATCCTCTGGACACAAATAACTAAGCGTGTGGCTACATGCAGACAGAAGGGGGGAGGCTGGGGTGTGTGTCTAGGGAGGAAAGGACACCAAGTCAGAGAGAAAGGGCCTTGGCAACAGTAAGTTACCGAGCATTTCGAGTCCAGAATTTACAAATACTCAAAATCAATCAGCCAATGTGAACTGCAGCTGATCATAGTATATTGTGATTTTCCCGAAGTTCACATACATTAAAAAAAAAAAAATCACTAACTATTAATTGGAGGGATGAAATAATGTAATTTACTATTTCAGGTACATTTTGAGAATATTTGATACCAAAGAGTCATATTTATGAACACCAATTCTCACTACACAATAGGATAAATGTAGAAGTTGCAAGAAGTTAAGCTAAAACTCTACCAGAACCAAGCTGATTTGCATATAATCAGATAGCAACTCTACTTGATATTTGCTGCTCTGTATGATAAATGTAAAATATAGAAAAACATTTCCAGCTATGGACAGTTATATCCATGTCACCTTTCCCCACCACAGATATAGATAATTAAGAACTAAAAAATGACTCTATTAACAGTACACGTGATTAAATAGCAATATGTCCTCAAGTTACTTACATCATCAGTAATGCAAAGGTATACAATCCTGTCTTGGCAGATGTAATGAAACAAATAACTGTAGGATAAAAGATATAAAAGTTATGTGGTTATGTGGTTACAAGTAATATCTCTTTCTCTTTTGTCTTTTTCTATGTATAAGTGAAATCGTATTGCTAATGTGACCATATTATTTACAAATACTGTCTATTCTCTCTTTTCCCCTCCTTTATGCATACCTGTTTCTCTCAAGTCAAACTGATAGGAACAAATAAGAAATTAAAAGCGTGTCTCTACTTGCCTGGCCAGTGTGGCTCAGTGGTTGAGCATCGATCTATTTTCCAGGAGGTCATGATTAGATTCCTGGTCAGGGCACATGCCCTGGTTGCAGCTACATCCCCAGTATGGGGTGTGCAGGAGGCAGCCAATCAATGCTTCTCTCTCATCACTGATGTTTCTCTCCTCCCTTCTTCTCTGAAATCAATAAAAATATATTTAAAAAATAGAATGTCTCTACTCTAACTATATAGCACAACAGTGGGCACACTTACCCATTAAAACTATAGCTGCACAAGCATAACTGCACTCTTAAGGCCTGGATAAGAGATGACAGCTTAGGAGGGACACGCAATTAAGGTTAAACCCCAATGAGCAATATGGTCTTCCTTGCCTTTTCCTAAGATCTCAGAGCACTTTCTTCCTCAAATACTCGATGGTAACGTTTGCTTGGTCTCTGCTTTGAAGTCAGCTGCCGGGCTATGAGATGAGTAAACTCATCAGTCCCTGCCTTCCCAGAGTTCACTGCGGGGAAGGACAGAGTGGCATGGTTTAGGTAGGATGAGGGGTTAAAGGCAGGAGATGGTGTCTGGGAACAGAGTAGAAGTAGCTAAGAGAGTTTGACTAAGGGTTAACAGGAAGGACAGCTTGGAATAAGTAAGAGATGGCGAGGGAAAGAGCAAGCAAAGTGTTCCCGAGTGAGAGACCAACAAGCCTTAAGGGCCTGGAGCATATAGTGGGTTTAGGAAAGTAAAATTTGTTCATATGACTGGAGTATAGAATGTAAGGAATAAATAAATTGACTGTCTTAATGAAGCTGGAGAAGGAAGCAAATACCAGATTATATAGACTTTAAAACCTCACTATGCATTATGCTAAGAACAGTGAACAAGGGGAGAGTGATTAGATTTGCAGTATAAAAGGATGTTTTCTGGTCCTGACCATGTGGCTCAGTTGGTGGAGCACTCTCCTGGATCCCCTGTAGGGGGCGTGCAGGAGGCAGCACATTGATGTTCTTTTTCTCATCCATGTTTCTATCCCTCTCTCATTTTCCCTTCCCCTCTCTCTAAAATCAACAAAAACATATATAGATGCTTTGCCTAGAGCACTGGTTCTCAACCTTTCTAATGCCGTGACCCTTTAATACAGTTCCTCATGTTGTGGTGACCCCCAACCACAAAACTATTTTAATTGCTACTTCATAACTGTAATTTTGCTGTTAATGAATGGTAATGTAAATATCTGTGTTTTTTGATGGTCTTAGGCCAGTGGTCGGCAAACTCATTAGTCAACAGAGCCAAATATCAACAGTACAATGATTGAAATTTCTTTGGAGAGCCACATTTTTTTAAACTTAAACTTCTTCTAACCCCACTTCTTCAACATAGACTCACTTAGGCCGTGATATTTTGTGGAAGAGCCACACTCAAGGGGCCAAAGAGCCACATGTGGCTCGCGATCCGCACTTTGCTGACCACGGTCTTAGGCTCTACGGTGAGTCACAGGTTGAGAACCGCTAGCAGGGTCGCCTAAGACCATCGGAAAACACAGATATTTACATTACGATTCATAACAATAGCAAAATTAGTTTTGAATTTCAACGAAAATAACTTAATGGTTGGGGTCACCACAACATGAGGAACTGTATCAAAGGGTTGCGGCATTAGGGAGGTTGAGACCACCGGCCTAGAGTGTGAGAACTGACCGAAAGGAGGACCAGACAGACTCTCCTGCAGTAGAGCAGGTAAGAAGGAATGAAGGAGGTAAACTAAAGTACTATAGGTAGAAGAAGGGACAAAGAAGAACAGAATCTGGTGATTGGCTATTGGAGGTGAGACACGGGGATAATTCAACTTTGCCACCTAGATTTCTACCTTGGGCAAGTGGATAGACAGAATTATCTGTTGAGTTATATTGCTTTTTTAAAATATATATTTTTTTTATTGATTTCAGAGAGGAATGGGGAGAGACAGAAACATTAATGGTGAGAATCATAGATCAGCTGCCTCCTGTATGCCCCACACTGGGAATTGAGCCCCCAAACTGGGCCTGTGCCCTGACCGGAAGTCACTCTGACCTGGGTCACAGGTCAACGCTCAACCACTGAGCCACACCTGTCGGGCTTGAGCTATATTATTATTATTTTTAAATATATATTTTATTGATTTTTTACAGAGAGGAGGAGAGAGGGATAGAGAGCTAGAAACGTCGATGAGAGAGAAACATCGACCAGCTGCCTCTTGCACACCCTCTACTGGGGATGTGCCCGCAACCAACGTACATGCCCTTGACCGGAATCGAACCCAGGACCTTTCAGTCCACAGACCGACGCTCTACCACTGCGCCAAACCGGTTTCGGCTGGCTTGAGCTATATTATTAATGGCCAGATAGAGGCTTCCTATGAATTACCCAGAGGCATGGGAACTCAGGGCAAAATGTCTTCCTCCACTGCTCTGAAAGTGTTCACATCAACTCCACCGATGACTTCCCCATTGCTGTATCCAGTGGCTCTCTCGGAAACATTTGCTAGTGGTGACCACTTCCTTTTTCTGGAAGGTGCTTTCTCTGTACTAGATTTTCTTGACAGCAGGCTGGCCTAGTTTATGTGTCTCTTTCCTTCTCTAGTGATGTCTTCTAGCACCCTCAGCCCCTGCTTTCCTCACACGTGCTCCCTAAAGGGCGGCATCCACGCTCATGCTTTGTGGTTGATGTCTGTTTTTCGGCTACCACAATTGTAATGACCGCTCCTACATCTGGCCTATCTCCTGAGTTCTAGGTCTGCACATGCTACTGGCTAGTAGACATATCCAACCGGATGACCCAGAGACATCTTAAACTCATGTCCAAAGTGAAAGTCATCCTTTTCGCTACAAAATGTACTTCTCTTAAATCACACTTGGGAGTAAGGGTGCAAAGATAACAAAAGGAGTGATTGGTCCCTGCTATCAAGGGGACAGAGATAAGAGAGAAAGATTATAATTATAATACCGTTAAGTGTTACAATATGAATAAACCCAGGATTCTACGGAGATACACAAAAAGGGGGACCTGGCCGTAGCTGGTTTGGCTCAGTGGATAGAGCATTGGCCTGTGGACTGAAGGGTCCCGGGCTCAATATGGGTCAAGAGAACAATATGTGGCTCGATCCCCAGTAAGGGATGTGCAGAAGGTAGACGAACAGTGATTCTCATCATTGATGTCTCTCTCTCTCTCTCTCTCTCTCTCTCTCTCTCTCTCTCTCTCTCTCTCTCTCTCTCAAATTAATAAAAAAAAAAGGGGGGGGGGCACCTGACCCAGGTTGGAGGTCAGGGGTTTCTAGAAGAAGCTGGGTGCAGGGGCAAAGGTGGGAATGAGGGACATCTGTAATACGATCAACAATAAAAAATAAAAAAAAGAAGAAGAAGACAGCCTAGCCAATGTGAGTCAGTGTTTGAGCATCAACCTAGGAACCAGGAGGTCAAAGTTCCATTCCCAGTCAGGGCACATGCCTGGGTTGTGGGTTCAATCCCCAGTGAGGGCCATGCCGGAGGCAGCCAATCAATGATTCTCTCTCATCACTGATGTTTCTATCAGTGATTCGCTCTCATCATTGATGTTTCTATTTCTCAAGCTCCCTCTCCCTTCCTCTCAGAAATCAATAAAAATGTATTTTAAAAAAAGAAATATATATCATATCTGTTTCAAGTTTCACATATCCTAGAGCTCTATAACAAAGTAATTTTTACCTCTCACATTTCCTTTTCTTTCTTTAAAATATTAAATCACTTCAAATGATAGAATAAAATAATTATAAGTTAAATTTTATAATTAATAGAAATTGACATGTTCTAAGCTGGTAAAGGTTACTACTGGTCTGTCAAATTATCTACTAAGCAGTTTCTTTCCTAGTTTTATGCTGTCCTGATTATAGTAATAGAATTCACTTCTTTCACCCTTTACCCAGGCAGAGCAGAACTCACCTGCCATGTGAGTATGTTAGTTTGTTATTTTCCGAAGGTATCTTAGCCAGAATCTGCTCCGTCACCTCCAGGAAATTTCCTCCACACCAAGCATGTTTGGCAAGAATGGTTGTTCCTCTGGCCACAACAGCAAAAAGAATGGCCATGGTTTTAATCTATCAAAGGGGGAAAAAAAAGACACAAAACTTAGAATATCCTATATAATAAAAGGCTAATATGCAAATTGACCAAACGGTGGAACCACCAGTCCACCGTTTGATGCACACTGATCACCAGGGGGGTAGACACTCAATGTAGGAGCTTCCCCCTGGTGGTCAGTGCGCTCCCATAGGGGAGTGCCGCTCAGCCAGAAGCCATGAGCCGGGCTCACAGCCGGCAAGTGCAACAGCAGTGTAGCAGAGCTAAGGATGTCTGACTGCTGGTTTAGGCTCACACCCCCGAGGAAATCCCCTGAGGGCTCCCAGATTGCTAGAGGGCACAGGCCAGCTGAGAGATCCCAGCCATATGCACTTTGGGGGCAACCAGGCTAGCAGGGGAGGGCCATTAGGGGTGATCAGGCAGGCAGGCAGAGGTGGTTAGGGGTGATCAGGCAGGCAGGGGAGCAGTTAGGGGTATTAGGCAGGCAGGTGAGTGGTTAGGAGCCAGTGGTCTTGGATTGCGAGAGGGATCGGGCCTAATCCAGCAGTCAGACATCCCCTAAGAGGTCCCGGATTGGAGAGGACGCAGGCTGGGCTGAGGGAACCCGCGCCCCCCCCCCTCATTCATGAATTTTGTGCACTGGGCCTCTGGTTTCTTTGATATGATCTTTCAAAAGTAACTCAGTATCATTTTTTAAAAATATATTTTATTGATTTTTTACAGAGAGGAAAAGAGAGGGATAGAGAGTTAAAAACATCGATGAGAGAGAATCATCGATCAGCTGCCTCTTTCACATCCCCTACCGGGGATGTGCCCACAACCGAAGTACATGCCCTTGACCAGAATCGAACCTGGGACCTTTCAGTTCGCAGACCAACGCTCTATCCACTGAGCAAAACCGGTTTCGGCAATAACTCAGTATCATTTATTAACATCTTCCTGGAGACAGTATTGACCAAGACACTATAACATTAAATGTAACAGACTTAATTACAGGCTTAAGAGCATTGACCTACGAACCAGAAGGTCATGGTTTGATTCCTGGTAAGGGCACATGCTGGGTTGTGGGCTGAATCCCTAGTAGGGGGTGTGCAGAAGGCAGCCGAACAATGATTCTCTTTAATCACTGATGTTTCTCTCTCTCTCTCCTCTTCCTCTCTGAAATCAATAAAAATATATTTTAAAAGATCCTGCATTGAGTGTCTGTCCCCATGGTGGTCAGTGGGTATCATAGTGACCAGTTGTTCCACCATTTGGTTGATTTGCATATTAGCCTTTTATTATATAGGATCAGATACCAATTAATACACACACACACACACACACACACACACACACACGTGTGTGTGTGTGTGTGTGTGTGTACAAGGTGATGCATACATGATACAACACATATACCTTATTATGGATAGGTTGCATTTGTAAATTATATAGCACAAATTCATATTACCCTCTAAAAAGCGATGACCACAGATAACAAGGGACATAAAGACCTCCTCATTCTTTAATGCAATATCATCCTGAAAATGTATCCCTGGGAAACAGTTCATCAGAAGCTAGACTCTAGATTCCTAAAGATACCTATTATCAATAACTTTAGACAATAAAAAATAGCCTATATTTATTAGGTGCTTACTATGTGTTAGGCACCATTTTAAGCATTTTACCAATATTAGCTTATTTGGCCCTCACATCCATGAAATGATGCACTATTATGCAACTTACATTAAAAGGAAGAAACTGAACTATAGATGACTTACATAATTTCCCCAAAATTACAGAGCTGGGAAGTGATAAAGGGTTGGGATTTAAATTCAGGCAGTATGGCTCTAAAATACTGCCTCTACTAGAAAGGCATTGAGTACCCATAATAGAAACAAAGTGAAAACAAGCAACCTTCCATTGGAGAGGAGTGTTTCTTTAATTTCTCCTTCAGAAACAAAGCATTCTGGGGGAAATAATGAACAACACAAACTGATGAACAAAAACAGGCCCAGAGACAGGGAGGCATCGATCAGACTGTCAGATCTCAGAGGGAAGATAGGGAAGGGTGGGGGAAGGGGGGAGAGATCAACCAAAGGACTTGCGTGCATGCATATAAGCCTAACCAGTGGTCACGGACAACAGGGGGTGGGGGCATACGTGGGGAGGGGTTTGGGATGGGAATGGGGGGGGGTGGATGAGGACAATTATGTAACACCATAATCAATAAAGAAATAAAGAAATAAAAAAGTAACAAAACAATGCAGCAGGTGTTTACTTTTCTATTTCTGTATTTGTAGCATTGCTTTCCTCTCTAACAGCCCCGTTTGTCTTATCTAATATGATAAACTTATAAAAAGGGATGCAAAAAATGCCTTCCTAGTCTTCAACCTAATGCTGTTTGTTATGTTCAGTTTCATCCCATCAGCCATTGCTTCTCACACTGCAGTGCATGAGTCATCCTAGGTGGCAGAGCAAGCGTCGCTTGTTAAAATTTCATATTCTTGGCAGTATCCCCTGGGGTTCTGATTCAGTCGGACTGATGCAGGGCCTCGGATGTGTATCTGATACAAGCCGGCCAGGGTGCGGGTGATTCATACAGCCGGATTTTGTGAAACATAGCAACAGAAATAAAGCGTTTGACGTCAGAGACCGACCCCCTGATTCCTTCTTGGAATCCTAGCTCTGAAGGATAGCACACAGACAGAGGTGCTCATCTGTCTTCTGAACTTAACTCTTCTCATTCCACTCTCTAAATGAGGGTGTTATGTCCTCGGTTGTCTTCTTTTTGGATTTCTCCTTACAATATGGAGCAAGTGATAATTTCTAAATCACTTTTCATGTGATATCCCTCAATTCTAAAAAACTCAACTGGCTCTGGCTCATGTGGCTCAGTGAATAGAGCGCTGGCCCGTGGACTGAGGGGTCCCAGGTTCAATTATGGTCAAGGGCATGTACCTCTCTGGCAGGCTCTACCTCTATCCCTGGTCAGGGTGCATGCGGGAGGCAACCAATGGATATGTCTCTCTCACGTCAATATCTCTTTTTCTGTCTCTCTCCCAGTCCCTCCCACTCTTTCTAAAAATCACTGGAATAATATCCTCGGGAGAGGATTAACAACAATGGAAAAATAATAATTAAGAATAAAAGCAGTGTTTCTGGGAGGGAAATGAAAACCTCAATTGACCCTGTAACATTCTCTAAATATTACTCCATTTTAAAAAATCATAATCTACACATTCTCTCTGCTTCTCTACCTCCTTTTAACTCTCCCACTTACTATATTCTGGCTTTTGTCCTCAACACTCCATAAAACCGTGCTTGCCAAGATCACCAACTGCCTCTCTGTTGCAAAATTTGGTGGTAACTTCTCTATTCTCACCTCACTTGACCTCCCAGAACAATCAACACCGTGGACTAAACCCTCTTTCTTAGAATTCTCCTATATGCCTGGCTGTCCTGTCATCTTGCTAGTCCTCCTCCTCTAGTTTACCTCTAAATGTTGAATTTCCACAGGGATTGGTTCTTATTCCTACATGAGCTGATCCAGACCTGCCATTTTCAACATGATTTTATTTGCTGCAAACACATTGCATGCAAGAAACAAAACAGCCGTGGCTGGTGCGGCTCGGTTGAGCATCGTCTCATACACCAAAAGGTGGCAGTTGGATTCCCAATCAGGGTGCATACCTAGGTTGCGAGTTTTATCTCAGGTTGAGGTGTGTGCTGGGGTGTGTGTGTACCAATCAATGTTTCTCTCTCTCTCTCTCTCTAAAAAATTTTTTAAAGAAACAAAACAAAGCAGATAAAGAAGCAAAGGCACACCAAGATTGAGGGAAAACCAAAGATAAACCCCAAGATGCAACAAACAGCTGAGGGGAAGATAGATGAATAGGGATCCGCAAAGAAGACTGGGGCCCAGCTGGTGTGGCTCAGTGGTTGAGCATCAACCCATGAACCAGGATGCCCATGGGTTGAGCATCAACCCATGAGCCAGTTCGATTCCTGGTCAGGGCACATGGCTGTGTTGTGGGCTCAGTCCTCAGTGTGGGGCGTGCAGGAGGCAGCCAATCAATGATTCTCTCTCTTCATTGATATTTCTACATCTCTCCCCCTCTCTGAAATACATACATACATACATACATACATACATACATACGCGTAGGTAAGTGAAGGAAAGGCCTCGAAACCAAAGGGAAAGAAAGCTTCAAGAAGGACAAGTGTCAGCCCCTGGCTGTGTTCACCCATGCCCAGTATAATGACTCTAACACAGTCACTGACATTTTATAAGGAAGGTCATTGGTTAGGGTCAAAGAGACACGTCACGGAGTGGAACAAAAACACAAAGAGAAACAGAGGTGAAGAATCGTATGGTTCCTGACACACAGAGATGGAAAAATAGCAGGCTCGGTCCCTTCGCAGCTGGAAGAAGAAAAACTGAGTTTGGCAACTACACAAAAACATCCAGTGTCTTAGCGGACCCTAAGTTCATTATGAACTGACATGAGGTAATTGCTTCAAAAGCATATGTAATCTTAAATTACATTAAGGAACAGGGTATCTTGATCTCTTTAAGCACTCCTGCCATTGTACTCTGTGGCAGTTAGAACACCAGTGGAATACTGAGTTCAGATCGGGGTGTAGTATTTCAAGAATGCACGGAAGGGCAACAGCATGGGCGAGAGATCTGGAGATTGTATCACTTCAGCATGGCCAGAGGAGCTAGAAATCTCTCACAAGAAAAAGAGAAGACTTAGAGGGAATGTGACATCAGTCTTCAAGTTGATCTAAGGTACAGTCACCTGGAACAGGGCGCGTTATTCAGATTATAACTAAGAACAATGGATATCAGGTACAGGGAAGCAGTGTTTTAGTCCATAAAAGCAATCCTCTGCCGAAACCGGTTTGGCTTCAGTGGATAAGAGCGTCGGCCTGCAGACTGAAAGGTCCTGGGTTCAATTCCGGTCAAGGGCAAGTATCTTGGTTGCGGGCACATCCCCAGTGGGGGATGTGCAAGAGGCAGCTG